CTCCCTCCCTCCCTCTCTTCCCTCTCCCTCCCTTTCACAATATGGTGAATATTTCTGATAACCACAGCCACTGCTCACAACGGTGAGCAAGACCAACGTAGCCTGTCCTCGTGGAACTTCCATTCTAGAGGGGAAGACAGACACTAAGTTTGTGATTGATTACAAGCTGTGATAAGTTGTGATAAGTATGTGGCATAAAAATGCATGCATTTTTGCTCATCTTATGGAGAAGACTGAGAGCCAGAGTCAGGAAGGGTTGGGGGGCAGGGGCAGCCTGCTATCATTAGGGAATATGTAATTTCAGCCTCAGATTCTTCAGGTACCTTCTATGTGGATCCACCTTCATGGACCCTAAAACAACCCCAGCCTTCTGCCAGGCAGCCGGGCAGAAGTTGGGCCCTGTTCCCTGCATGGATGCCCATCAGGGACCCACACAGAAACTGCCTGACCTGCCATGACGGTGGACCTGGTGACATCTGCCCCTGTTTTTCAGGACCCCTGCCCACAGAAGAAGATAGGACAGGTCAATGTGGGCCTTCACTAAGGGGAGCTCACTGTTTGTGTGTGTGGGGGGGTGCACAGTCGCACCTTGGACAGCAGGATGAGGAGCTGCTTCTGGCAAAGGGACTTGGTGCCGCGGGGACACACGCGCCGCTGCGCCGACACGGGCCGGCTGCCCCCGGGCTCGTGGACCTCCCGCTTCTGCCGGATCAGGCTGCTGGCCAGTGCCGCCATGGCGCCCCGGGAGGAGACACCCCAAAACCGGCAGGCTCCCGGAGCGCGCTGGGCCCCCCCGGAGAAGACCGCTAGCTCACCAGGACATGCTCTTGACTCTCCGGTCCGACTCGCCGCCTCACCCACGGGACCTGAGGATAAGCCCTAGACGACCCCCACCCCAGGCACCAGCTCCCACCCTTGGGCCTCGTGCTAGCTTCGCCAGACCCAGCAGCCTATGTACCTCTCAGTTGACCCCACCCTCGACCTTTGTCCCCCACAGAAAACTCCCCCTTCTCTGATCTCCAGTGTCCCTGTCCCCCACTAACACTATCCCAAAGCCAAGACCCTCAAATTTTCCAGGATGTGGTTCCAATATCCCCAGGCACCTTTCCACCCTATTTCCGGGCCCTGCACTCCTGCCAAAGCCACTCTTATAATTTTAAGGGTGTGGGTCCTTAGCTTTGGGGATATTAGCTCACCCCACCCCTGCTGGGGTGCTGCCAGTGTCTAGGAAGAACCCAACCTTGGTGTCTTTTCTTTTGCCACCCTCTAAGTAAAGAATCCCCCACTTTTTTTCACTGAAATCCCCAATAAACTATGCCTTGAAATATCCAGACTGTCGCCAATCAGCAAGAAGAGGTTCCCAGACCCTGTCTCTGGACGATACCGCTTTTTACCAAGTCACCCCCATTTCTAGTGGCACAGCATTCCAGCTGCTGAGCCCCTTTTCTCACCTTGTTACCATCCACTGCTTTTGAAGTCACCTCCAAATCCGCCCTTCCTAGTGGTTACACCAGGTGGTTGTCTGGAGGGCCCTGTGTCACCTCGGAATAAGGAGCATAGGTTTTTGGCTTTTTTGTTTTTTTTCTGGCAGCCCCTGATTTCCTCGGGGACAGCTGGTGCTGTTTAGATCCCACGCCCTCCAATCCAACCAGCCCCCCGAGAGAGGAGTGCACCCACGGTGTCACGGGTCCCCAAATGTGAACAGACCCGCTGTAAGTCAGAGCGCATCAGAGCTTTCTGCGACAGGGCTTCCTTGTCCTCCCCGGGACTGCCTATAGCGCCCCCTCTTCCTTCCCCGACGCCCCTCAACCTGTCCTGTCTTGTCGATCCGGGGACGGCTGGCGCTGGCTCCGGTACCAGGCTCCTCCCTCCCTGTACCCCGCAAGCGGAGCTTCCCCCCACGCCCGGCTAGGCGTCCCGGACCCCAGGAAGGAGTGAGGGTGTCTCCGCAGAGCGCCCTGGTCTGGCGAAGTGAGCACTGGGCCTGGCGGCTGGACCAAGCGGAGCGTTGGCAGCGGCAGCGGCTGTGGGAAGCTGAGGCGATGGCGACGACAGCGGCTTCCCCCTCCTCCGAGAGCCTGTCCGGGGCCGCTGCAGGGGGCGGAGACGCCGGGAAAGAGCGGGAGGTGAAGCTGGGCGGGCGGAACCCCGGGGTTCCTGGGAGGCAGGGAGTGGCGACGGTCTTAGAGACAGGCGGAGCCCAGGCAAGGCCGCATGTCTCGCAGTTCAGAGGAAGAGGCACAAGGAGGCGACTCCACTGAATGGAACTCTGGATGGGGGGAGAGGTTGGGCTTAGATAGATGGAATGGCGGATGCCCCGAGAATGGAGAAAGGGACCCTACTGCCCGGGATGGAGGACAGAACTGGATGAGGAAGGTGGGGGGAATAACTGAAGAGATAGCGGTGGTGGTGAGGTCTAGCCTGGGGTGAAATCCGGCCTCCTTAATGTCTCTGCTTTTGTGTGAGACAAATTGGTCAGTCCCTGGTCTCCATACCTTTCTCCATTACACGTTTTTTCAGCAAATATATTACCCCCATCCCTATTGACTCCTAAGAGAAAAGACCGTAAGAACTGGCGGGAGATGGATGCCAGAGGCTGCGCCGGAGTGGGAGGGGTGCTGGCCACAGCTTTGGACAGTGGAGAGGCCAGAATGGAACGACCTGTGCCGGGGATGGGGCGGGAGGAGGGTGGGAGGAAGCGGAGGAACCGGCGAGGAGGCCTTCTAGAACGGGCTCTTCGGGGCCAAAGCGCTCAGCCTGTCTCCCAGGTGAGGGGAGAGCAGTCCCCTCCACATCCCGCTGGCCAACAGAAGCACATTCCAGGTTAGGAACAGCGTCTTTCATGGGTCCCGCCTCCCCCGCCGGCTAAGCCGCCCCCCTTGCGTGCAGCCTTGGCCTCTTCCACAGCGGCGCGCAGCGCGGGCAGGGTCCCTGCGAAGCAGGGCCAACGCCCCGAGCAGCGAAGCGGCGCCTTCCCCCGCACGGAGCTTCTGGCCACTCAGAAAATAGTGGGGCAGCGTCCCGGCCTCGAGCACCCGGCCCAGCTCATCCAGCAGCCCGAGGCAGCAGGCGCCCACATTCTCGGGTCGCGCCAGATAGAGCGCGGGTAGCCGCTCACACGCCCAGTAGAGCAACGTCCGCAGGAGGTAGGGCGCCGCGACCCTAGTCCTGGCCACCAGAGGGCGCAGCAGCGCCTGGGCCGGCGCGTGCGCTTGCAGCAGGGCAACGGGTATGCGCGTCTTGAGCGCCAGCTCTTGGCGGGCGAAGCAGAGCTGCCAACCGGAGGCGTCCGGCCGCTCTGTGCCGCCGCCGCCGGGCACCAGGTAGAAGGAAGACGACTCCGAGGCCAGCGGGCCGGTCCACGAGCGGCTCCGAGCCCCCTGGGGCCAGCCGGCCACGGACACCACGGGGATCAAGTCGAAAAGCAGGAGGCGGCGCGGGGGCCCGGGCGTAGCCAGGAGGATGGTGGTGACCCCCTCGTGGCGGGCTGCGAGGACCAAGCGCGGGGCACCCGGAACCGGAAACGGGGACTCAGTGACCGCAGCCAGCGAAGCAAAGAACCAGGCAGCCACCTGGGCGGGGCACAAGGTGGGCCATGCCTCCGGAGCCTCCAACGGCTGTGGCACTGGGCTGGCTGTGGCACTGGGCTAACGTCGGTTGCTTTGGTGACGTCACCATTGGTTCTTTTCAGTGGTGAGGGAAAGTCAACATCGGTTACGTCTTGTTGAGGCAACTCTGGCACTGAAACATTACTAGGTGAGTTTTCCAAAGACTCGTGTGCCTCAGGCTCAGTGAGGTGTAGCTGATCCACGGAGATTTGCGGATCCTTGGGAGTTTCTTTGCTTTAGGCTGGCTGGATCGAATCACGTCCTCCTGGGACTGGGGGTCCTAGGCAATCCTGCCATGCCTCCCGGACCGAGGTTCCGCGTACCGGCTCTGGAAGGAAGAGCATGTGTAACAGGATCCCACGTCCGGTTGCAGCTCCTGCCCAGTGCCATCTAGCGAAAGCACGGGCACCAGGAGTGTGAAGCCGGCGTCGTAGTGAGGTCCCCGAGCGTAGGGACCTAGAGGCGCAGGCCCCAGATCCAGGGAGCCCTCGCGAATCCCGCAACGAAGCAGCAGGAGCTCTGCCTGAGGAGGAAAGCGAGGGTCCCGGCGGTGAACGAGACCTAAGGAAAGAGAAGGGATCCAGAGCCGGGGCGGGGTGAGGCGGAGCTGAGAGCTGCAAGTTCCCGAAGGCTGGGAGGGTTACTTACCAAGCAAAGAGAAAACAAAGTCCTTGGCCTGGAGGAGATCTGGTCCTGGCTTGGGACGTTCACTCCAGCTCGCCTGCACACCCAGCTCCTGGATCAGCTGCGTTAGTTCTTGCAGCTGCGCCCCAGAGCAGCAGTCGATGTCCGTGAGCGGCCGGGCTGGGGCTGGGGGCGGTGGGCCCCACCAGGGAGCACTGCCCCAGACCGCGGAAGCCATATGGCTCTGTCGTTTGGGGGCTAGGAAATACACAGACGGGAGGAAGCCCAGACGGGCCGTACCTTTTGCTGCGGAAAACTGGCCCCCGTTCTTTTCTCTTCCAGAGGCCAAGAGGGTTCCCAAGACACAGTCCGCCAATGGGTCTGCAGACGAAGGACCCTAAATTTAGTTTTGAAAGAGAACAAAGAAATACCTCCTCTGTCCTTGCCCTTTTCTCATATGCTGGTCCCCGCCCCCATGGAACGGTTCACCTGACTCAGCAGGTAGAAAGTAGCTGTTTGGCCCCTCCTAAGGAATGCAATAGCCTCCTTCGCTGCCCCTTGTCTACGTCCCCTTACCTCTTTTTCAGAAGAGGCTAGTGGTTTGCGGCTTCCCTCTTAGGGTTAGCTACAAAGGCTGGGAAGACAATGGATAGGAAGATTCAACAGGTAACTTCTTCCTGCTGCCTGTAAGGCCACGCCCTTAAATTATAACCACGCCCCTTTCTGGAGACTGTCGGGGTGGTTCCGGACCAGCCCGGCCTCCAGTCAGAGTTCAGTCACCCCCTTCGCTCTGCAGAGATCTCGCGGCTATCCTGGGAGTTGTAGTTTGTCTTCAAAGCTACCAGGGCGTTGGGGCCACGCACCCACATCCTTTCCTGTTCCGTTGAAGTAGTGCCTGATGGAAGTTGTAGTTTCTATGGAGATACGCTATTCTGTGTCTTTATGATAAATTATTCTGTGTCTTTACAAGGCCAGGTGAACCGCACAAACATTCCTTGGGGTTAGAACAGAGGCCTAATAGGATGGATCTGAATAGCAAACAATAATGAGGGACATACACTAGGGCATGTGGAGAAATACGGGACTCTACATCTCACTTGGGAGTAGAGGAGCCCTGGTCATTTAAATCTAGAAGCGTTCTTGCATGCAATTATAACTTCATTTTAGAGATGAGACTGCAAGCCTAGAAAGGTTGCACATGACTTGTCCAAGGTCAGAGCTGAGCCAGAGAGGTGTTGGAAATGGGCTCTCCAGCTGGGATGTATCTTCTTGGAATCGGTGGTGGTCACCTTAGACAAGAACACACCGATAGTGTGCATGTAGTGACCCAGGGATGGACATCTGACTCAGGGAAGGGACATATTGGTGTTGCCCACCTCAGACACACAAGTGGTGGCAGGGAAAACACTTTGGAATCTCGCAGCTTATGTGTGTACACAGAAGAGTTATCAGGACTGAAAATCAAGTCCAGAGGAAACTCCAGCTGGGCTAGCGCAGGGCAAT